GGTCAAGAATAACGCCTATAATTTTCGGTGATGATCAGATAATAATTTTGGAATGAAGTGGACCGAAAACTTAATTTTTTGTATTATTTTCGAGTCGATCTATAGACCACAAATGGAAGCCGAATATCACAACACAACCCACGGTGAAGGGAATCTGGACAATAGCTGTACTGAATACTTGTAATATTCGGAAAATATGTCAGTCTGAGGAATAGGTGCTGTTTACCTCTAATAGGGCAAGAGGGTGCAAATATCCCGAAATATTGCCCAGGCTCGGAATAAACATCCGCAGAAAATTTGAGTTCCGTGGTAGTTGTGTAGGGTATCGTATGGTCGGCCCTGTCCGACTATACTGCTCCGCTCACTGGTTTTTTAAATAATTATTTTCCCAGTACCATCGATGCTTGGATATTTATACCCTTCACCACACTGTGGTACAGGGTATTATGTCTTTGTGCATAAGGAAACGAAAGGTAAAAGGAAACGAGATAGACACATGGTTTCTTTTCAGAATATGCATAGAATCACTTTTTATGTCGATTTATGCATGTCCGTCCGTCAGGTCGCATTTTTGATTCGAATTGGATGAAATTTGACACAGCTTATGTAATGACGAACCCTATTGAAATTGAGAAAAATCGGTTCAGATTTAGCATCCATATATATTTCGTCCGATTTTAGATAAATATCTTTCGATTTGCACGAAATTTGGCATAGCATACTGAATTAAGTCTAGAAAGATGTGTGTTAAATTTCGTAAAGATCGGTTCAAATTTACATATAGCTCCCACATATATTTTCGACCGATTTAAGGTAAATGGTGCACCAAAGTCCCTAAATATGCTACGATTTGCACGAAATTTGGCATAGCGTACTGAATTAAGTTTAAAAATGTGTGTGTTAAATTTTGTGAAAATCGGTTCAGATTTAGATATAGCTCCCATATATATTATCGTTCGATTTAAGGTAAATAGGGCACCAAAGTCCATAAATATGCTTCGATTTGCACGAAATTTGGCATATCTCATTGAATTAAGTATAGAAAGATGCATGTTAAATTTCGTAAGGATCGGTTCAGATCTAGATATAGCTTCCATATATATTTTCGTCCGATTTTAGGTAAATGTTGCACCAAAGTCCCTATATATCCTTCGATTTGCACGAAATTTGGCACAGCGTACTGAAATAAGTCTAGAAAGATGTATGTTAAATTTCGTAAAGATCGATTCAGATTTAGATATAGCTCCCATTCATATTATCGTCCGATTTAAAGTAAATGGTGCACCAATGTCCCTATATATCTTTCGATTTGCACGAAATTTTGGATTTAGATGTAAATGAAGAACTCAAAATGTGGCCGAATCCATAAAACATACTGAAATAAGTGTAACCTAACATGTGACAAGTTTCGATGAAATCGGTTTAGATTTCGACATTTTGCTTTAAATTAATTTACATAATTTTGTTCCCATTGTAAGAAGAAACTGTATATCTGACCAAAATTTAGTATAGGTTGCAGAATGACATGTTTAATTTCATGTTAAGGGTCCTTAGAAAATCCGACGTCTATTAGGATTCCATATGTTGTGTATATTACAAAGTGGTGAAGGATATCTTACAGTCGTCCCCGTCCGACTTTACTACTTTCGTTGCTGGTTTTAAAACGCCCCTTTTGTAGCTATCCTGGTATCCACAACCCTTTTGGATTCATACAAAAAAACACAAATCTATTCATGTTTTAACATTTTTAGGGCCAAGTGGTTAAACCCAGAATTAGTCATAACTAATCAATCATATGTTTGTGTTTACATATACACAGCCTAAAAGTATGCAGCACTCAACTACAAGACAAATTGGTGTGGAGATTTCATTCAACATATCATCTACAAGTGGCAACCTTCCTGGTTGTTAGTACCAAATTTCTCGCATCCATTCATTATAACGAATCTTTCCCTAGGCATCGGATACATCAATGATAGCCATCAGACGTCACGCTTAGTATAAATTCAATATTTTTTTAATAGGGAATTGTTTTGCCCGAATTTGAGGAAAAGATAGCTACCTTGATCTGTGTTAGTTGTACTGTCGCCCCATGTTCAGTCACCTCTGAATTCCTCAGATGGGTCTCTCCATTTGAAAATATCTTAAATAATTGTTAATAATATTTATTATTTTAATAATTATTATTTCAAAATATTTCCCACTTTAATTTTGCTTGAAAATATTAAGTCCTTGAATCCCAACTCTAATAAATTCATTTCTTCTTTTTCTCATCCTTTACAGATGGCACTGGCAAAGATTTATATTCACCAGAAGCTGAAAGCTCCCCAGCACCATCATTTGTGGATCCACCGGTAACAGGTTTAGTACCGGGTGCCGGCACTAAGCCCACATCGCGCACAAGTAGTTTTGAAATAGAGAATTTATTGAAAACTGCGGAACAGGTAAGATCCCATTGAGCCTACCTATTGAGATCCATTGTTCAATGTTGTGGACCGTTGACACTATTTAGATGTATACACATAGATGGGATGAAGGAGGAAAATAAGAGAGACATTTTCCCCTCTCCTACCCCTTCTCTTCATCCCAATTAGCTAAACGAGGTCATAGGGCAATTTTGTGGGTTAGAAAGGGAAAAAGAAAGGGTAACAAAACAACAAAAAATTGAAAACCATAATCATAATTTATTTACAAAGAACAACAATGAAAAATTGAAACAAAAATAGAAGAAAAAAGTTGAAAAAATCCAACAACATCATTTTCATGCTTCATATGTGTGTATGTATGTGAATGCATGATTTGCGTAAGTGTGAGTGTGTATGTTTGTATAATTCGGCATAACATCTACTCATTGGTGATTGTACTCGTATGTTTTCCCGGTTCTTATTTTCTAATTTAGTTTAGTTTACATCTCATTATTATTTCAAATCTATGGCCTCCAAACTACACAGCACCAGGTACCAAGCAAGGTATCCACAACAAGCACAAGTAACCAACCACCAGCACCCATATCAAACAAAAAAAAGGAACCCTAAACTTGTTTTTAGTCCATTATAAATGGTCATAGCATAGATCAAATACCACAATCATCATTGTGATTTAGATTTCCAGGGTTTTTCGTAATTTCCTACCCCCCCAACCACCCAAAACCTTCCCATGACATTTTCAAAAACTTACCCAAAAACTGTTTTACAATTTTCAATTCTCCATAAAAGTCCTTGGACACTTGCTATTGTTTTTCTTCAATTTGTGAGAAGGGTGTTAGGGTGTGTGTGTGTGTGTGGATTTGACTACGTATAAGCTTAGCACCATTGTCCCTGTCTGTCAAGTGATTTTTTCATCATCATTTGTATGTATGTGTGTGTGTGTTTTTTGTTTTTTCTTACATAGTTGGTGGCTTTTTCGGACTTGTCTAAGTGTCTCAACTCAATTGTCTGTAAAGTGTTTTGGCCCCATACTTCTGGTTCATAACAACAACAACAACAAAAGAGGGAGAGGTTGGCACATGGGTGTATGCAAAAATATTTAAAATTAGTCAGGAGCGTAGTAGAAAAAAATTTCACATTACGTAAATGATAAATACAACAAAGCCTAAAGAGGGCCTTCAGATACATCTAGAGATATTCAGCCTATAATGGATCTGTAGAAACTTATTTTCTGCTTAATTAAGACGCTGATGGCGGGTTTGTTAAACATAAAAATTTTCATAAGGTCCGGAAGATCCAGATATCTTTAAAATCATTTTTAAGGTAGGAAAAATGCGGATTTGAAAAAAAAAATTGAAAGACAGACGTTTTGCAGGTTTGCTTAAAGATACAATATTTTTTCACCATTTTTTTTTAAATAAAAAGTTATACCGCGTAGGGTTTTTCTAAATAATCCAATTTGTGAATTAAAATATATTCTGACGCCTAAAAGTATGCATTTTACATTCATAAGAAGTCATATTTACCCCCAAGAAGAATTTTATACCGAAATTCCTGGTATTTGCCTCCATTTTTAATCCATGGAATCAAAAATCTATTCGTGTATACACCTTTTGTTCTGCAATACTTTAAGATCAAATGGTTTGGCCCAAGTAATAGAGATAATCGATCAATCATATGGTTGTGTCAGAGTGTACAGAGCCAGAAAGTATGCAGCAGATCTACTGTTTGGATTTAAAAGAACGATGTTCACGACTTTTAGAAGATGATTTAAGTCCACACCATCGATGGATGAAATTAGTTAAGGAATCACCATAGTTTATACCACATTTCTCAAACCCATTCCCAATTCGAGTTATCGCAATAATTTCTTAATAAAAGATTTCGTTGACACCTTTGAGAACATCTGATAATCTCTCAATCATATGGTTTTATTATACAGAGCCTGAAAGAATGCAGCACTTAATTAGCAGACCTATTGTCTGAATTTAAATACCTGGCTTTTGTTAAGTTCACACTATCATGAATTAAATAAATATTTCTCGCACGCACTCTTTGTCGAGAATCTTTCCCGCCGAATCAGGCCTATCCATAATTGCGACCATGTTCGTATGAGGGTATAATCCCCTTCATATGAGTATAAATGTCCATTCAACGCTAAGAATATTCGCACATATTATTATGACCACAATTTTAAGAAGTCATCGGAAGTTGCGATACTAACAACAATCTTGTATTCCTCCTTTAAAAAAAAGTAGAGTGTTCTCCGATTATCTGCTACTTCACGAATTGTCTCTTTGAGATCAGGCGATGCATTCATTTCATTTCCTAATTTCATTCCATCGATGAATGAAATAAGTTTAAGAATTACCATAGTTTATACGAAATTTCTCAAACCCATTCCCAATTGTAAATGGTTAACTTCGAATTTTCTCAGCATTTTCTTAATAAGAAATTCCTTTGAAACCTTTCAGAACATCTGATAATCGATCAATCATATGATTTTATTTGTAAGACAGAGCCTGAAAGTATGCAGCACTCAATTAGCAGACTTATTGTCTGAATTAAAATACCTGGCTTTTATTACGTTCACACGATCATGGATTGAATAAATTCAGGAATTACCATATTTCTCACACGCACTCATTGTCTTTTCTCAGGCCTATTCATGATTGCGACCATGTTCGTATGAGGGTATGATCCCCCTTCATATGAATATAAATTTCCATTTAATGCTAAGAATATTCGCACATGTTACTATGACCACAATTTTATTCCAAGAAGTCATCGGAAGTTTTAAAGGTCTCCTGCGATACCAACAACAATCCTGTATTCCTCCTTTAAAAAAATAGAGTTTTCTCCGATAATCTGCTACTTCACGAAATGTCTCTTTGAGATCAGGCAATTCATTCATTTCATTTCCTAATTTCATTCCATCGATGGCATTTTTTAAATAAGAAATTCCTTTGACACCTTTGAGAACGTCTGATAATCGATCAATCATATAATTTTGTTTGTAAGACAGAGCCTAAAAGTATGCAGCACTCAATTAGCAGACATGTTGTCTAAATTTATGTACCTGGCTTTTGTTAAGTTCACACGATCATGGATTGAATAAATTCAGGAATTACCATATTTCTCGCACGTACTCATTGTTGAGAATCTTTCCCGCCGAAGACAGAGCCTGAAAGTATGTAGCACTCAATTAGCAGACCTATTGTCTAAATGTATGCACCTGGCTTTTGTTAAGTTCACACGATCATGGATTGAATAAATTCAGGAATTACCATATTTCTCGCACGTACTCATTGTTGAGAATCTTTCCCGCCGAATCAGGCCTATCCATGATTGCGACCATGTTCGTATGAGGGTATGATCCCCCTTCATGTTAATATAAATTTCCATTCAATGCAAAGAATATTCGCACATATTATTCTAACCACAATTTTAAGAAGTCATCGGAACTTTTAAAGGTCCGCTGCGATACTAACAACAATCGTTTATTTCTCCTTTGAAAGTACGTAGAGTTTTCTCCGAATTTCTGCTACTTCACGAAATTGTCTCTTTGAGATCAGGCGATTCATTGATTTCATTTCCATTCAGTTCAAATTTCTATTGTTAGTTGCCATGACAAAGAAGATTTCGGTGATACAAAAAATCGTGTCTTTAAATTTTTCTTTGTAAGTGAATGGACGCACCATCCATAGGTGGTCTTTGTACCTCCCTTCGGCATCGGCTTCAGATGATCTTCTCCAGATGACCTATGATAATCCTATAACATCAATTCGGCATCGGACAGAGCCTCCCGCCGGTATCTTCATCAAATTCTGCTGTGGCTCGCATACAGCTATCAGACAATACGATAGTCCTCATGGAACATGCTTTGGAGATCGCTTTAAAGTAATTTTTTGTTACATTTAAAGATCAAGATCAAAGGGTATTATGAAGATTTTCGCCCTGATATTTTTGAATTCCTAAATTCTTTCCACAACTTTGAGCAACTTTTTGGGGATTTCTATACTGCAACGCCTAAAACTATGCATCACACTTTTCATATAACGCAAAATGGCAAATGTTGTGCATATTTTTAGGCATTTGCTAAACAAAATCAAATATTCAAAGACTTGAAGTTTTTTTTTTAAATCGTTCCTCCCAATAAAAACACATTTCTCGAAGTAATTTAGGACACTCGGTTGACTCAAGTTATACCACTGCCTGCCGGCGGTATCTTCATCAAATTCTCGTGGCTCGCATCCAGCTATCAGACAATACGATAGTCCTCATGGAACATGCTTTGGAGATCGCTTTAAAGTAACATTTTTTGGTACATTCAAAGATCAAGATCAAAGGGTATTATAAAGATGATCGCCCTGAATTCTTTGAATGCCTCCATTCTTTTAACAACTTTCAGCATCTTTATGGGGATTTCTATAATGCAACGCCTAAAAATATGCTTCACACTTTTCATATAACGCAAAATAACAAATGTTGTTCATATTTTTAGGCATATGCTGAACAAAATCAAATATTCAAAGACTTGAAGTTTTTTTGAATCGTTCCTCAAAAAAAAAACGCTATTGTCGAAGTAATTCAGGACACTTGGTTGACTCGAGTTATACCACTGACTGCAGAAAGTTTCTGTGGATGATTTTGGCGGCTTTCATGGAAAACGAAGAGGTTGGTACTTTAGTAGAAAGGGAAGGCGAAGTACATGGCTGTTATACAAATTTCTTATCTGACTATATGGCAAGGGAATCTTCAAGGCGAAGAATGCGAATTATTCATCGTCGTATGTCGATGAATATTAATAATTCGTTTTGTTTGCAATTGAACCCCTAAAAGTATGTATCATCATCACATGATACATGTGATGCATAATTTTAGGCTTGTACTGATGTTAAATTTATTATACAGTTATATAAATCGATTTTCAATTATTTAAAGTATTGATTTCAAAATAAAATACAAAAATATCGAATTATTGGCCAATAATTTTTGTGCCGATTTCATTACGCTGA